TTCCTAGAGACTTGGAGGGCTCAGAAGACAGGAAAATGTGGGCAAGTTTGGAACTTCCTAGAGACTTGTTGAATGGCTTTAACGAAAATGCTGATAGTGATATGGACAATAAGGTCCAGGCTGAGATGGTCTCAGATGGAGATGAGGAACTTATTGAGAACCGGAGTAAAGGTCACTCTTGCTATGCAAAGAGAATGTTGGCATTTTGCCCCCGCCCTAGAGATCTGTAGAACTTTGAACTTGAGAGAGATGATTTAGGTTATATAGGGGAAGAAATTTTTAAGCAGCAAAGTGTTCAAGAGGAACAAGGGCATAAAAGTTTGGAAAATTTGCAGCCTGATGAGGCAATAGAAAAATTACCCATTTTCTGGGGAGAAATTCAAGCTGGCTGTAGAATTTGCATAAGTAAGGAGGAGGCAAATGTTAATCACCAAGACAATGGGGAAAATGTCTCCAGGGCAAGTCAGAGACATTCAAAGCAGCCCCTCCCATTACAGGCCTAGAGGCCTAGCAGGAAGAAATGGTTTTGCGGGCTAGGCTCAGGGCCTCCCTACAGTGTGCAGCCTAGGGACTTGGTGCCCTGCATCCCAGCTGCTCCAGTGGCTAAAAGGGGCCAAGGTACACCCTGGGCTATGGCTTCAGAGGGTGCAAGCCCCAAACCTTGGCAGCTTCCACATGGTGTTGAGCCTGTGGTTACACAGAAGTCAAGAATTGAGGTTGGAAACCTCCGCCTAGATTTCAGAGGATGTATGGAAATGCCTGGATGTCCAGGCAGAGTTGTACTGCAGGGGCAGAGCCCTCATGGAGAACCTCTGCTAGGGCAGTGCAGAAGAGAAATGTGGGGTTAGAGCCCCACACAGAGTTCCCACAGGGGCACTGCCTAGTAGAGCTGTGAGAAAAGGGCCACTGTCCTCCAGACCCTAGAATGGTAGATCCACTGACAGCTTGCACTGTGCACCTGGAAAAGCCACAGATATTCAATGCCAGCCTGTGAAAGCAGGCAGGATGGGGTGGGGGTGGGGGAGCTATACCCTGCAAAGCCACAAGAGCATAGCTGCCCAAGGCCATGGGAATCCAGCTCTTTCATCAGCATGACCTAGATATGAGACATGGAGTCAAAGGAGATCATTTTGGAGCTTTAAGATTTGGCTGTCGCACTGGATTTCAGACTTGCATGGGGCCTCTTGTCCTTTTATTTTGGACAATTTCTCCCACTTGGAACAGGTGTATTTATCCAATGCCTGTACCCCATTGTATCTAGGAAGTAACTAACTTGGTTTTGATTTTACAGGCCCATAGGTGGAAGGGACTTGCCTTGTCTCAGATGAGACTTTGGACTGTGGACCTTTGAGTTAATGCTGAAACAAGTTAAGATTTTGGGGAACTGTTGGGAAGGCATGATTGGTTTTGAAATGTGAGGACAGGAGATTTGGTAGAGGCCAAGGGTGGAACGATATGGTTTGACTGTGTCCCCACCCAAATCTCACCTTGAATCATAATAATCTCCATGTGTCAAGGGTGGGGCCAGGTGGAGGTAATTGAATCATGGGGGTGATTTTCCTCATACTGTTCTCATGGTGGTGAATAAGACTCATGAGATCTGATGCTTTTATAAATGGGAGTTCCCCTGCAAAAACTCTCTTGCCTGCCACCATGTAAGACATGACTTTGCTCCTCATTCGCCTTCCACCATGATTGTGAGGCCTCCCCAGCCATGTGGCACTCTCAGTCAATTAAACCTTTTTTCTTTATAAATTACCCAGTCTCAGGTATGTCTGTATTAGCAGTATGAGAACAGACTAATACACTTGGCCACCACTAGCCCAGAGGTGACTTCCCGTCAATCTCAACTCACTCGGTCCCTGAGAAAGTAGAATGGTTCAGGGGAAAGACAGGGCACAGCCTTCAGGCTGACCTGGGCTTGGGTCCTGCCTGCATCCCTTACTGTGTGATCTTAAGTAAGTTAGTGAGCCTCTCTGAACCTTGATTTCTTTTCTCTAAAATGAAATCAGTAATTGCCCCTCACAGAATTGCTACAGGAATAAACAAGATACCATAGTACCTAGCTCAGTGCTGGGCACAAAACAGGGCCCAAAATGTTACTTCTTCTCTCCCCAGCCTCAACTTCCACCTATGGTGGAGGTGGGTAGCAGGCCCCAAATGTGAATCTGTCTGAGTCTAGAATCATACAAGTGTGGAAGGGTGTGTGCTCCACCATCCCCACTGCTGGCTGTGTAGCAGGCTAGGGGAGGTGATTCTCAGCCCTGCCAGGAGACATCTTCTCCACTGCCCCTCCCACTACGCATGAAACAGCTATATTGCTTTTTTCTCATTATAAAAGCAATCCATGCTCATTATTAAAAGATTCAGACATAAAATATCCTAGGTAGAAAGCCGTGAGCATCTGCTGGTCCCTGGGGCTCCAGGGCCAAGCAGAAAACTGAGGTACCCAGGGTGCCTCCCAGGAAAGCTCTATTTTCACAATGTGTGAACTGTAAATGCAAATGCAAGATATTCTTTTCAAATCTTACAAATCTTACACTTTTTTTTTTTCTTATAAAACACAATAGATGGGCTGGGCACAGTGGCTCATGCCTGTAATCCCAGTACTTTGGGAGGCTAAGACGAGTGGATCAACTGAAGTCAGGAGTTTGAGACCAGCCTGATCAACATGGAGAAACCCCATCCCTGTTGAAAGTACAAAATTAGCCAGGCATGGTGGCGCATGCCTGTGATCCCAGTTACTCGGGAGGCTGAGGCAGGAGAATCACTTGAACCCTGGAGGCAGAGGTTGTGGTCAGCCAAGATCGCGCCGTTGCACTCTAGCCTGGGTTACAATAGCAAAACTCCATCTCATAACAAAAACAAACCAACCAACCAAAAAAACCCACAACAGATGTTAATGACAAAACAAATTCAGGCAAACAAAAAAGATTTTCTAATTATGCAATTCTACCTACCCAGAAACGCTGTTAATCGTTTGAAGCATATTCTTGTAAACGTTTTTCTGTGTATAGAGATGTATATTTCTTCTGTAATAGAAGTGGAATCCCTTTGCTGATTCTCCACTTTCTATATAGGAATTCATACTTCAGGAGAACATTTTTCAAAAGTAATGCTTGCTTACTGAAAAATTCCAAAAACACGCAGGTGCATGGAGGGACTTGCCTCTGTTCATTTCTCTGTGGTTCCCTTTCCTCCTTTTCCCTCCATCCCACTGTAAGCAATTTACTGGGATTCAGTCTTTAAAAGGGTATTGGGCTGAAATGTGCGAGCGCTGCCCAAGCCCAGGGTGGTTCTCACAGGATCCCCACCGTCCCTGTCCCCCAGGAACCAAATGCCAACAGTGTGGCCTGGAACACCCAGTGTGAGGACATGCTCTGCTTCTCGGGAGGAGGCTACCTCAACATCAAAGCCAGCATCTTCCCTGTGCACCACATCCACCAGGAACTTGCTCTCCCTCAATTGCACCAAACCAACTCTGCTTATTAAAAGTTTTCTCCCAAGATTGCCATCCTGACCTCAAAAATAAATGCAGTTTGCTGCTCTCTGACTGTGGCCAGCCAAGAGGAGACAAAGGGGTGGCCTGGGGCTGCCTCTGCCAGGACCTTAAGATTCAGCAGCAAGGCCGGGTCCGGTGGCTCACGCCTGTAATCCCAGCACTTTGGGAGGCCGAGGCGGGCAGATCACCTCAGGTCGGGAGTTCAATACCAGCCTGACCAACATGGAGAAACCCCATCTCTACTGAAAATACAAAACTAGCTGGGCATGGTGGCGTATGCCTGTAATCTCAGCTACTCGGGAGGCTGAGGCAGGAGAATCACTTGAACCCGGGAGGTGGAGGTTACAGTGAGCCGAGATCATGCCATTGCACTCCAGCCTGAGCAACAAGAGCGAGACTCCATTTCAAAAAAAAAAAAAAAAAGATTCATCAGCAAAGTCTTGCTGGCTACACCAGGGCCATCCTGCTGATACAGCAGGTCAGGACTGTCAAAAGTTAGGAAAGGCAGTCTTAAGACAAAGGCAACTCTGTCGCCTCTGCCTCTGGCCATCCTGCGGTTTTGGCCTGGAGAGGAGGGATAAAGCATCGGATACACTCTTGGAATTTTTGGTTTCCCTTCAAAATTTATATCATCTTGTGCAACAACTGGTTTGTCAGGGCTGCCAACTAGGACAGCAAGCCCTAGGAGGGAGGGCTTCTCCAGGTGGTGGTGACTTCATGTTTGGAATGCAACAGCAAGATAAAGTATAGCTCAGAGGGTGAGTGAGTCTCAGAGGGTGAGTGAGTCTATTTCTAAAACTCCACTCAAATTGTGCTTCCCAGAAAGTCCAAGTGTTAGCCATCCATCATATGCTCAGCTGTGATGTGCCTGTCTGAGTGCCTGCCCCACTCATGGGGCAGTCAGCATGGCAAGGAGTTGTGCAGTTCGGGGAAGGAGCACTGGCTTTCAGTCCTGACTCTGCCATTCAAACATTTGCTGAACAAAGGACCTGTCTAAGGCACTGCTAGGTGGTGTGGGGTGACGCTAAGATGAGGTACTTGTTTAGTTCCTGGGTGTGAGGAGGTGACAATCTAGAGGGAAGACTTTAAATTTCATTCTGTGTCCAAAGCAAACAACACCTATTCTAGGGATGTTGTCTTCCTCCCTGCTGGCATTTCTGGGTGGGGCAGGAGAGGGAAGCTCCCTCCATGGAGATGCCTCCTCCCTCCTCTGAATCTTACAGCCTCCTCCATCTCCACTTTCCTACACTGAGGACATCTAAAAATATAATCTAGATCATTGTTACACAA